TGCTTAAGGTTGGAAGGGACCTCTAGAGATCATCCAGTCCAACCCCCTGCACACGCAGGGTCACCTAGAGCACGTGGCACAGGGCTGCGTCCAAGCGGGTTTGAAGATCTCCAGAGAAGGAGACTCCACAACCTCTCTGGGCAGCCTGTGCCAGCACTCTGGCACCCTCAGTGTTAAGAATTTTTTCCTCAAGTTCCTGTGGAACGAACTTTTGGTGCTTCAGTTTGTGGCCATTACCTCTAGTTTCGTCGGTGGCCACCACTGAAAAGAGGCCAGCACCATCCTCCTCACTGCCTCCCTTGAGGTTCTTCTAGACACTGCTCAGGTCCCCTCTCAGCCTTCTCTTCTCCAGGCTGAACAGGCCCAGCTCCCTCAGCCTCTCCTCATAGGGCAGATGTTCCAGGCCCCTGATCATCCTTGTGGCCCTGCGCTGGCCTCTCTCCAGCAGCTCCACATCCCTCTTGTTCTGTGGAGCCCAGAACTGGACACAATACTCCAGATGTGGCCTCACCAGGGCTGAGTAGAGGGGCAGGATCCCCTCCCTGGACCTGCTCTTAATGCACCCCAGGATCCCATTGGCCTTCTTGGCCACGAGGGCAACTGCTGCCTCACGGTCAGCTTGTCGTCCACCACGATGCCCAGGTCCCTCTCTGCAGAGCTGCTCTCCAGAAGGTTGGTTCCCCAGCCTGTATTGGTGTCTGGGGTTTCACACTTACGGACTGTCCATGTTTCTGGTGTTCAGGCCATTAACCTCTCTGCCTTCATGCCCTCAGCTACAGCACAAAGCTACTAAAAAAGATATTATGGGGATTTGCTAACACTGAAAATTACTACACGAGAAGCACCGTAGTGTACTTGGGCAATGTTACTACCAATAAGGAAAAACATCATTGATATTCCAGCCTTGAGAATGTGGGGTTCTCTCCTGTCATGTGATACCTGAAGAATGTTAAATATAAAATTGATTTTTCATTTTAAAACTTAACCTGGTAACCATCTTATGTGAAATTCTGGACTTTTCTCTTGTTGGCTTCAAATATCAATATTGTACCTTCAGCACAGCAGAAAATGTTTTCCTTGTTTGCTTTGGGTTTGTAGCTTTGATGAGGAACAGCATGGAGCTTCTTTCCTGTTGAGTTTTGTTTCTTCTGTAATCCCTCACCTCTACAAACTATAATATTTTACAATAATGGGACCCCTTCTGTTGAAACTACCAGTGCTGAAAGGCAGACAACTGCTGAATTTTTCCAAGTAATATTACTTCTTTTGTCTCTTAGTAAGAACTTTTCACAACAAACTGTATTATAAAAATGATTTATTTTGTATCAAATTGGTTAGAAATAAAATTGTGTATGAAAAAGGGCATGTCATAATAATTTAGATATTCTTAATGCAATCTTCCTGGAAGGGTACCATCATAGTTAAGAAAAAAAATAATTTAATTTTGGAGACAGTGTACGGGTAGCAAGGGTTTTGTTGTTGTTTTCTTCAAAAATTGGAATTTATCTCTACCTCTCATGCAATCTCCATCAGCTCTAATTTTGAGAGTGGGGTTTTGGATGTAACTGAGAGGACTGATTCAACATGTGGTTACGGAAATTTTTCCTTGCGTTGAGGACTGGTGATGAGAACGAAGGATAATATCTAAATGTGTGGGTTCACACTCAGGGAAAAGGGAGATCAACCTGTTTGTGCCAAGGCAAAAGTGAGAGGAAAATAACTTTTCCAAGTGACTTCTTCCCTCTCGGGTGCAGAAGTGCTCCCTAATGATTACTTATTTCTGGCTCCTGCTTTATCAGTCTGTTGGGGGTGGCTCAAGATCCCAATGGGCTTTGGATCCGTGGGTTTGGAGGATCCATAAGTGAAACAGGCTTGTGGGGCCCCTCTTAAACACCCTGTGTTAGAGAGGGCATGTGGGGAGCAGTTGGGTGTCTGCAGCGGCGCCTGCAGCTGAAGATATGGAGTCGCAAAGCCAGGAGCCAGCGGATGCCGTGGCCGCGGCCTAGTCACTTGCTGCATTAGAGGGAAGTCAAACAGCACCAAGGAGTGACCCGCGGCTGCCCGGAAGGGCGCGTAGACGCTGCCGGGAGCCCTGGTCGGCATGTGGCTGGGCCTGGGCCGTGCCCCGCGGAGCGTCCCCTTGCCGCGCTGATCACACGAGACCGGTGCCAGCCCAGGTGAAACGAGCAGGGTGGCAGGGACAGCTCTCCTCAGGGAGGAGAAACCACATTTTCCAGATTTGGGAATCACATAATGGTTCTAAAATTTGTCATATCAGTATTCTGTTGATGACTAGCAGGCTTACCCTGTGAGTACCAGCACTAGCTTGTTCTCCGATGGTGGTTCTGTTCAAGCCTATGGATGGTCAGGGATTACTCGAGACCCAAGGCATGGGTTGCTCTCAACTTACTTAGACTCCCATCATTGTCTACTTTAAGCAAACTATTTCCACTTCTTGTGATCTAGTCAGGCAGTGCTGCTTGCTTGGTAGCTTACAATAGAATCTGGGGAGGGAAGAAGTGCAAAAGATTTTGCACTAAATTTCTGATATTAAATCCTTTCCTTCTGCTAGAGAAAGCCTGGAATCTTTTAGTTCTCATTCTGGTACCAAAGATGATAACTTTGACAGTGAAATGCATATGAGGAGGATGTTTTATTTCTGCTGTAAATTGTGCTATGATTTAATGTCTAATAGATATTATTATAGTCCTGGAGATAATGTTGTTTCCTATCTATCTGAGATGTTTTGCAACTGAATGTTAGGAGCCTTCCCTACTAGCCTTGCTGAGAACACGTCCAGAGGTGACGTTGGCAACACGGCAGAAGGGCTTTGCCAGCAGCTCAGGCCGCGCTCCCGCGGTCATGCCCGCGTGCCCTGGGGACACAGCCACCCGCGGGCCCAGCCAGCGCCAGCCCCTCTCCGTGGACTGGTGACCGGGCAGGGTGGGTGCCGGGAGCGCCGCGGCCGGGAGCGAGGAGGTGCTCTGGGCTGCCGGGAGCGGGGACTTGCTAGAGGCGCCCAGCTGCAGCGCCTAACGTGGCGTTTTTCTGTTGGCCCCTCAAGAACGGCTGCGTTCGGGAAGTGCTGTGTGCCCGGCGGAGCTGGAGGCAAAGGGATGGGGAGGTCAGTCCTGTGTCCTCTGTGCACCCGGGAAACCAAATGGCAGCGTGGTCCCGTGAGTGATGGATCCTCCAGTGACACCCTGCAGCGAAGCCTTTGGGACTGATCAGGCCGTGATGGAGCAGGCAGGGAACACACCGTGTTCCCCGGTCTCCGCCTGCACCGGCTGCGTTCAGTTCTGCTGAGGCTGCTTTGGTGCCGCCGAGCACAGTCTGTGTGGGCGCCAAGCAGCCCATGGCAGCGCCCTGCAGCCTGGGACTTCCCGAAGGCCTGAGCAAGCCAGGCCCGGCTCACGATGGCTCTGGATGCACCGGGACCTGGTGAGCTGCCCACGGAGCTGGCAGGCCCCCGCGCTCCCCATGGTGGCAGTGGCAGGTCGGGATGGACCCACGTCAGCCCAGTGCTGTGTTTAACCAAGATAGCGCTCCGCTGGGGTGCAGAGCTCGTTTTCCTCTGCACCCATAAGCTTTATCGCTGCTTTTGTAGAGCCTACAGGCCAAGCAAACAAGGCACCAGCCACCTGCGTGATAGAAACTTTCACACATTGCCACAAAGCTTGGCCGGATCAAACAGAAACCCCTGTCCCCTGTCGTCACTTGCACCTGGATGCAGCTTTTGTGCGTTGGCCATGGCAGCCTCTCTAGCATTTGTGTGCGAATGGGGGATCAGCAGAAATGCTAGGTATTTGATAAGTGTACACACACATGTGTGTGTATATATATATATTCTTTATGCAGATATATAAGAATCTAGTGTAGCCACATCACCAAGAGTCACCTGGACTCTTGCTTTCCTACCCCTTGCAATGCCCTGGGCTCTTCAGGGCACTTTGGGCTCCTGCTCAGCATACTCCCTTCAGGCACCCACAACCATACAGGGGCAAAGGGCAGTACTAGGGAAGTGGAACTTCTAGTTTCCTCAGTACCTCTTTTGTGTGGATTTAGCCCCAAATTAGTGAGCTGGCAGATGTGTCACTTGCTCTCTTGCTATGCTAGGGCAGCTGCAGCCAGCGTGGAGCGCGAGCACCATGGCCGAGACGGGGGCATGAGCCCAGCCCCATCCAGGAGCGGGACAGACCTGGACCCCGGCAGGGAAGACAGTCCCCACGTGCGGTGCGACAGCCTGGCACAGCATGTGGCTGGCTGGGAGCAAGGCATGTAAACATGTCAAGGCAGCAAATTAATCTGTGTTGCTGTAATAATAATTGCCCTAAAAAATCCATTACAGCTTTCCAGCCATGGAGCACAAGTGTCACTCACTGGGCAATGGGGATGGATGTACAGAGAGCAAGAAAAATGTCTTGAAGGGAGGAGGGCTGCTTCTTGAAGCTCAAATACAACTTGATGTTGATGGACTCTTCTCCAGGGAGGGAAGTCTTGTCCCAGAGAGATGTCCAGGAATGACATAGGTGCATGCTATGCCCAGGTCCCTCCCCACTGTGGGCTCCCCATATATTCTTTCTTTATGTATCTGATTATTTTCTCCTGAAAAGGATTACACAAAAAAGGGAGCAGCTAGAATAACTCCAAGTGATGCTGCTTCCTCTTCTCCACTGCCCAGGGACCCAGCTGCATTGCGGCATGGACCAGCTGGGGCATCCATCTCACTTGCTTTCTCCATCGTCTCAACGCTCTTCTTGGGACCACCGTGTCCAGTCCAATGTTAAACACCTACGCACTGGAACAGTTTGGTGTCTCCAGTTTGGGATGTCTTAGAAGGACTTCATGGTTTCATGTACGGGGGACAGAGCTGCTCTGGTGGGGACCTGCGCGAAGCTTCTCTGGCCATTGCTGGTGGCTGGAAGAGCTGGGACAGCTCAGCCTGCTGGAGAGAAAGCTGGAGGTGGGGACGGGGTCGTCACCGTTTAGCTGTCGGGAGCATGTCCCCAGACCAGGGCCAGGGGTGCCTGGTGGCAGGCGAGAGGCAGCGGGCACAGCCTGAAACATGGGAAACTCCACCCGAGCTCAGGAAAATGATCTGCTGTGAGGATGATCCAATGCTGGAGCAGGTTGGTCAGAGACATGATGGCATCTCCATCCTTGGAGATACTCAAACTGGCCTGGACTTGGTCCTGATTCTCCAGAGGATGCTCTAGGAGCCTGATGCTCTGGAGGATGCTCCAGAGCCGGGGATGGAACTGGGCTGGAACCAGGCTGGACCAGGGACTGCAGGGCTCCAGCCCCAGCTGCTCCACAATTCCTTTGCTCACTGCTAGTTTGCGGGTTTTGTTCCAGTTACACCTGCCGCCCATGAAGGAGAAGCCAGGGCCCGTGAGGCTTTGCTGTCCCTGAGCTGAAGTCACCATCAAGCGGAGCAGGTGACAAGAGGGCGAGTTGCCTGCTGGGACACCCGGGTTTGGGGCTGCAGGCAGAAAACAGACACTGGTCCTGCCCATGAAAAATTCAAGGCGTCTCCAGTTGCTGGCGCCCAGGAAAGCAGCCACCCTGGGGAGGCTCCTGACGGCTGCGGAGAGCGAGGACGGGGCAGCTCCTCCACGAGCAGCAAGTGCCACCAGGGAGCCCGGGCAGAGCCGGGTCCGGCCCTGCTCAAACTGCCCAGAGACCCTGGCCTTCCACCTCAGAAACCCTGAAAACATCTGTGTGCTCCAGGCAAACACGTCCCTCTGAAAAGCCAATGCTAATTTAAAAGAAAAACCAATCCCAGATTCAACAGGCTCTGTAACTCAGTATTTTTCACTGTAACTCTACTGACCAAAGGGCAAAATAAATTAAATTTTTATTAAGTCCACAGCACAAGACACAAAAGGGGAAGGGCATGAGCAACAGTCTCAAATTAAAGCAATCCAAGACAGCAGCCATCCCCAGAGCAGAGCTGCTCCACAGCAGCCAGGCTTGGGAAAGCCTTCCCTGCTTGAGGTGGTTTCCTCTGAAAACAGAGAGATCCTTTAATTTTTCATTTTCCTGCCCAGAACAGTGGTACTCAGTTAGGATTTCCCATGGATTTTCCACCACGTTCCTCAGCTGCTGCTCAACCCATGGTGCGTCCTGCCTGCAGCAAAGCCCTGACAGAGGCACGAGGCTGCTACTGTAAATTAAACCGGAATGCATAATTAATAATTGAAACCACAGGGCGAATTGCACTAGACCGTAAAAGCGATTCAATCAGCTAGCACCCAAGAAGGGAAAAATTTAGCTCGTGCAGGACACAGTTGTCTCCAGAAGGACTGTCTGGAGTAACAGCCAGGGAAGAGGCTGCCTCGGAGCGGTGCTGGTTTCCACCTGGAGCGCAGCATGGCACTACTGCAGGCACTGCCACAGGGTCAGCCGCAGGATGCGGCGCTGCCTTGCGGCGGGGGCGACCCCC